AGAGCGCATGATTATAGCGCGTTCTATTCTGTTCTATACTTTACTACTCTGTTTTATCTATTCTGTTCTGCTCTAGTCTGTTCTAGTCTATTCTGTTCTATTCTATCCTGTTTTATTCCGCTCCGTTCCCTAAACCCTCCTAAACCCTAAACCCTATTCCATTATGTTACGTCTGACGTCCACGGGGCTTCGTCGCAGGACGCCTCGCTGGCGGCCGAGGTTGCGAACTCCTCCAATGCATGGTCCTGACCAGACGCAAACCCGAAACCCGAAAAGCGCTGTAAACCAAAAAGGACCGGGTTAAGGGTTTTAGGGTTCAGGGTTTAGGGGTTGGGGTTTAGGTTTAGGGTTTAGCCTCCAAAGGTCGGATGAAGGTAGGTAGGATTCAGGATCTCTTATATGAGGACTCTTATTTTGGAATAGGATTTAGGGTTTCACGAAACCTTAAAAGCGCTACAAACCAAATGAGACCTAGTGATAAAATCCTATGTTTTCCTATAAAACCCTAGAAGTGATGTAAACCCCTACATTCCCCTCCACAGCACCCAAAACACCGGGAAGAAATCGCAAGAGCTTTGCTACTGCATAATCTTTATAATATACTTATATGCGGCCCTGATTATGACCCCTAAAATGCACCTTTAAGGGCCGTCTATAACTATATCTATAAAAAATTTCCCACGTTTCCAAGGTGACCAAATTAGAACCCTAAGCATAAACCCTAAACCCCTAAACCCAAAACCCCAATACAGACTTGTCAGGGTACTACTGCAGGACGAAAGCTTGACCTACACCCTTGTTTCGCCGAAAAGAGCCCCCGTTCCCCCTGCAGAATCCTAGCAAACAGGACCGCCCGGCCACTCCTTCGGAACGTTAAATTGGCATGTTTTCAAAAGGGCTATAAAGTACTCCGCTGGCCAGGCCGCGTACTCCGCTACTCTGCAAGACGCCTTGAGACAAGAAAGGTCCAGCACGTCAAAACTTTTGTCGTCCCGATGTACGCCTAAATTAGGTTATCAATATTATTCAAAACCTGAACCCTAGAAGGTGCGTGGGGGGGTGGGGCAGTACCCAAGCCAAACCCGCCGAGAAAACAAGGGAAACTAATACTTTTTTGGCGGTTCCGTATTATAAGTATGGTATAATGGGCCTCTATTCTATACCAAAACCCTATTCTAGTTATAAAGGCCCCTGTATCGGATGCGTCTGTTGACTCTGCGATCCGCCGAGAAAAAAAGGCCCCTGTAGGAAGACCCGTTGGGCCTTGCTCCGCAGATCGGCCCGAGATTCGGCGAGCTGGGCCTTCAGTCGCTCGACCTGGGAGTCTGTGAGAGTGTGTAAAAGTGAGTGTGTGTCTGTCTGTCTGTCTCTGTGTGTATGTCTCTTTCTATCTATATATGTATAAATAAGTGTGTGTATATATATATATATATACACATTGTACATCTACATATCTGTATATCTATATATCAGTGTATCTATATATCTGTGTATCTATGTATATATATACATATATATATATATATATATATGTATATATATATATATATATGTATGTATGTATGTATGTATGCATGTATGTATGTACGGTGTGTATGTAAGTATGTCCATGTCTATGCTTCTATACTTCAAATATATATATATATATATATATATATATATCGATGCATCTGTAAATATATATATATATATATATGTGTGTGTGTGTGTGTGTGTGTGTGTCTGCACAGATGTATATACACATACAGATATATCTATCTATATAAATATATATATATATATATATATATATATATACATATCATATATCGGAAGATATATACGTATAGGGTTTAGGGATTAGGGTTCCAGTGGCACCTTCACATTGAAATTGAAACTCTCAGACGCGACATGACAGATTGAGGCAAAGGCCAGTTGCAAAGTAGAGGTCATCCTGACGAAGCCCAAAACAGAGGTTTAGGGTTTCGGTTTAGGGTTTAGGGTTTAGGTGTCAAAGACTCGGAGCAGGACGCTTTTCAAAGCGTTCAGTGGAGGTCCTGATGTTCCACTGCACACCGCCTATCACACACGCATCTCCCCTGGAGGCTCTGCTGCAGGTTTCTCCACCAGGCTTGCTGGAAGTGCTCTGGTTTGTATTCTGCGGCTGCTGGATCAGTAGCTTATCCATATGACTTTGGCTTTGAGCGCCTTGAACCGAGTGCAGCAAGTCATGGCCAAAGCGTCTCTTGGGATGGCTGCAGTAACCATGTTAACTTAAGCGCCGCAAGCTTTGCATCTGATTGCCTTTCTGCTGCGACAGGTCCGGCACATGTGAGAACCCCTGGCATGCCACGATGCCGTGCTACAGCCGGAACGCTGAGGATTAATGTGGCATCCCATGATCTGTACAGCTTGCAAGAATGTGGAATCAACTAACAGGGCACCCAGTTGATCAAGTCTCTCAACCTGACAGTGTGATTACTTCGGTTCAAGCGATGTAGAGCATTGATCAACTAGTAGCCGCGAGTTGAAAAGAAGCCTACTGCCCCGCATGTTGTGCGGAAAGCTGACACGATCGCAAGCTGCAACAATCCGAAACCCTGAGCCCTGAAGACTCCTGATGGCTTGGTGTCGACATTCTCTGGCTCTCCGGAATCGGTGGAGAGTTCAGCTGGCGGACAAACGTCCTCTTGGACTCTTTGGAGGTACATACTGAAACTGCTACGAGCTTTCTCTGCCCGGGGGCTGTCTGCACGAGTGACTTGAAGACCAAGTGGCCTGCAAGCACCAAAATGAGAACAACCCAGGCAAGCAAAGGCAGGGTCTCTCGCCAAATGTGTGCGCAGCTAGTGAAATCTGGCCGTCTGTGAAGCCTATAGGCCTGCTACTGTATGTATGGATGCAAGCAGTCAGCCCAATCGCGTTGAATTCTCTATCTGCCATGCCGGATGGCAGGGCCAGGTGCAAGGCGTCCACACTCTTGAATTGAAAGCTTTCGCATCCACTGCTGCTATTTCAGCACAAGCTGAAGGGCACAAAGTGGTGAGAGTTGTGCTGAGCGGGAAGCTGGAGCATGGGAGTGACACCTTGCGAGGGGTGCGCCAAACCTGGCCCTAAGCACAGAAATCCCAAACCCGAAACTCTCTACTATAGTAGCCTTAATAATTAGAATAGGCATTGTACTATAATTATAATAAGGCACCCAAAAATGGTATAAGTAATCATTAAGGCGCCTATATTACCGCCTTCTGTGCACCTGGCTCTGTGAGACAGCGCAGACGATGGGAGCAGCAACTTGTGTCTGTCCCAGGACGGGCCAGGAGACCAGAAAGGTCTGCGAGGGCCGCGCCTTGAGGGTTTAGGGTCTAGGGTTGAGGGTTTAGGATTTACGGTCCAGGGTTTCGGGTTAAAGGTCTAGGGTTTAGGGTTGAGGGTTTAGGGTAGAGGGTTTAGGGTCTAGGGTTTAGGTTTAGAGTTTAGGGTTTTTTTTTAAGGGGGGGGGCTCCTTTTTCCAACTGAGTTTAGGGTTTAGGGTTGAGGGTTGAGGGTTCAGGGTTTCGGGTTTGGGGGGGTGCTTGGGGATTCAGGATGATTGGGATGATCATGTGGGTGCTTGTCAAAATTAGGGTCCCTTTTAGGTACCCAAAATACTAGGTACCGTACTGTATTAAGGGCCCAAGAAGGGACCCTAATTTTGACAACCACCCATGTGATCTGGGTTGTATGAATTACTTGGCTTCTTAAGGTGACTATAGGGGTTATTCGAGCGAAAAAGGGGTTCTCAACGTTCTGTGGTTGTTCGCCTTTCGGCCTCGGGCTGTTAAGCGAGTACTAGCATCTGCAGATCATATGGCTTAGGGTTCAAGCTTCTAGGGCATGTGACGGTTGAGGGGTTGGGGTTTAGGGTTTAGGGTGTCTGCATAGACCCTCAAAGGAACGCGAAGCAGCTGCCAAGTTGCGACGGTCACCAAAACCGGCGTCGCTGCAGTGGACGGAAATCCAGCAGATTGCACCGGTGCCGGCCGAGGGGTAGCCAGCCCTGACCTGTGCAAAGCAAGATGCTGCAACATGGTCGGGATAAGACGATTTGACCCCAGGCCTGAGACAAACGTAGGTTTAAAACCTACACCTGCCGGGGTACTCAGATACGTCTACGTAAAGGGTAGTTGGTATACTTTAGGGCTTCGAAACGATTCCAAAGTGGGCCTAGGAGGCCAACCACAAAACTGAGCCATGAAGGTGATACAAAGTCACATCAATGCAGCTGTATACTGGCACAATTGGCAAGCAAGCACAGCACTTTAAACAAAAAAACACGTGCAACAAGAAAGTGTCTGAGCAGACATGCTGATACAACTAGCTTACTTCATCATTCAGATTGCGCCATTACAAAATGCAGTAAGATTGAAGTGGTGCTAATTAACAGGTTTCCCACCTTTAACATCCCACCAATACACATCTCAGAAAATGTCTGCACGTCATTTTCTAGTGGCATGTACTAGGTAAGGTCGCCGTACGGCAAGCCTTGGTCTTCGAACCTTCTGCGATCCTTCAAAACCTTCATCCCTATGCCCAAAACACCGCTAGGTTCTCAGAGATTTCAAGGCCCGACATGTACCCAAAACACATCCACCTTCTGTCTGCCCAGCCTGAAAACAGCGTCGTATCCACAACGGTCGTGTGAGCTCGGCAGCGAAGCCCGCCTGGCCTGTCAGAATCATCGCATCTTGCCCTCCAAACTAAATCGAGATTCTATGCACAGCTTTCGGCCATCAAGCTTTGGGAGATAAGCTTTTCGTGCGTTTTCAAAAGCAGCGGGCCCTTTACACCATCCAAAGAATTCAGACGAGTCTAACATGGATGCGCACTCAAAGGGCTTTTAGTTGTTTAGGGTTTAGGGTATAACGGGGTCTAGGGTTTAGGGGTTTCGGGGTTTAGGGGTTTCGGGTTTAAGGGTTTAGGGCTTAGCACGATAGCCACAGCTGGGCAGTGCCTGCGAAGGTCTCGCCGGAGTCGGAGCATCAGCCGGGCCTGAAATCGGGCCTTGCCTCGGCTCTGGGCGCTTGAAGGGCAGTCGAACAACGAAGAACCCCAAACCCTAAACCCGAAACCCGAAACCCTAAACCCTAGACCCTAGACCCTAAACCCGAAACCCTAAACCCTAAACCCTAAACCCGAAACCCTAAACCCGAAACCCTGAACCCTAGACCCTAAACCCGAAACCCTAAACCCTAAACCCTAAACCCGAAACCCTAAACCCGAAACCCTGAACCCTAGACCCTAAACCCGAAACCCGAAACCCTGAACCCTAGACCCTAAACCCGAAACCCGAAACCCTGAACCCTAGACCCTAAACCCGAAACCCGAAACCCTAAACCCTAAACCCTAAACCCGAAACCCTAAACCCGAAACCCTGAACCCTAGACCCTAAACCCGAAACCCGAAACCCTGAACCCTAGACCCTAAACCCTAAACCCTAAACCCTAAACCCGAAACCGTAAACCCGAAACCCGAAACCCTAAACCCGAAACCCGAAACCCGAAACCCTGAACCCTAGACCCTAAACCCTAAACCCTAAACCCGAAACCCTAAACCCTAAACCCTAGACCCTAAACCCTAAACCCTAGACCCTAAACCCTAAACCCCAAACCCTGAACCCTATAGTCTCAGATTAAGGTTTTAGGGTGCGTCGTAGTACAGCTACATAACGACGATCAGGCTGATAAGGGGACACCAATACTCTTTACTTTTTCCGACCCTTTTTTGGGAGATTCCGAAAAGAGGGGACCCCAACATAGTAGGACCCCGAGTAAGGTACCCCTAAAGTTCCGAATCTCCCATATCGGCTGCTCGTATTTCGCTTGAAGCACTGGCCCACGGCGTCCACGGGATCCACGGGGCTGGCGCCACGGCACTGCCGCGGGCTCAAGGGTCTCATCGCGTTCAGCCGCATAGCCTCCCCGTGAGGGATAAATATAGGAACCTGATTAAGAAACCCTGGGCCTACAACCCCCAAACAGTAGGATTGAAAAGAGGAAACCTAATAAAGGCCCAAGGTTGCTACATTAGGGTGTAGGGTTTGAACCGTAAACTTCACTTCACTTCGCAGCATAAGGGTCCTAGTCCCGCGCTAAGTACAAGGTCTCAAAAGCTCGCGCTAAGCGCGGAGCAGACCAAAAGGAGACTTACCGCTCCAACATGCAAAGGTGAGACCAGAGGGTGCAGACAAAGGGAAGGAGCACACAGGTGCTCAACAACACAGGGCACCCGAGATCAGCCCGCCGAAAGGAGCTGATGCGGAAAGGCGAGGCGACGCGGCAGAGCAGAAGCGAGGCAGCCGGCGGAGAGGGCCGCAAGCGCCGAGGGGACGACCCCTGGCAAGCTGACTACCGAACCAAAGCCGAGCACGGAGACCGCCGAAGCGCCGACCGCAGCAGGTGCGACACGGCCCAGCAACTCCCAAAAGGCACCGGGGAGTGGCTGAGCGCTCCAAAGAACAGCACCGCGCTGAAGCTGGCGAGTTAGATGAAGAAAAGTCAACATCCGACGCAGAAAAAGGATGCGGCTTGCTGCTGCTTGGCCAAATCCAGAAGGGCCACGTAGCCGTGGAAGGGCAGAGGGGCGCTCCTCACGACGAAGGAAGGCCGACAGGCGCCACACATCACCAGACCAAGGGTGACGCATGTCGAAAGCGCAAAAGAGGCGCCAACACCAATTCCAACTGCAAGGAAGACACCAGAGACCTGGCGCAAGACCAAACCAGCGACAGGACGGGACTCGAAGCTCGCAATCGTCCGGAAACTCATCGAAGAAAAAGGCCGAGAATTGGCAAGCAGAAACCTGAGCCGGCACCGCAAGTGTGGGAGGATGCGGGGAGAAAGGCGAGAGAGGCGAGGAGGCCTCAATAGAGGGGTTCACACCATCGAAGGCAGCATGTGCATCCGCAGGGAAGCCAACAGCCACTGGTGCACAACCGGTAGGAGAGACAGGGGTTCCCTCAGCCGGATCGGTAGCCCGGCGGAAAGGGACAACAGGTGAAGACCTTGCGCCTTCGGCAAATCCAGGGCCAGGCGCCAAGGCATGGAGCTCAGCAGCAAGCTCCTCTGCAGTGCAGTTTCTGTCTTCTTCGGCAGCCCGTCGCTGGGCTGGAGTGGCATTACATGGCCCAGTAAGACGAAAAACCGGCGCCCGAGCATGCCCTTGCTGGCCGCGACGCTTGGTGCCGGAGCCATACACATAGACGGGCCCGACACAGCAGCGTAAGCCATGCTCACACGCAGGCGAGTTGAGCAAGTGATAGCGGAGGCGCGCTGCGTTATGAAATTCAATGAGGCACCAAAGGCACACGGTGCCAAGTGTATACTGGGTACAGAGTGCGACACGTCCGTGCAGACGGTGAAGGTGTGCCGCAAGGGCATGGGCCGAGGGCAGAGTCACCCCACACTCGGGGCAAACATGTGGGGCCGCAACCCCGATGATCTTCTTGGGAGAAGGGGTCTGACGGCTATTCCAAGCGCGGTGGAGCGCAAGGAGCATCGTCCCAGAACGGCTGATCTTGCGACACGCAGCCAAAATGGCTTTGGAATGCCGGCGGATCCCTTCCAAGGTGGGCTCCCCAGTACGTAGGTCTGGAAGGCCACATGCAGGCCAGACCTTGCGGACGGCGTCAGCAAGAAGTGAGGACCACTCTCCACCGCGATCCCAACTGGCTTGAAAGAGGTCAAAAACCTCGGCCGAACGGCCTGACACAATGCGACAGAGAAGACGGACTCTGGCGATGAGAGTGGCACACTCGACATCAAGCACTCCCGTACACGCCCGCAGTTGAGCGGAGGCAACATGGTGGCCGGCGTCCCAGGCGCCGACAAGTTGGCGCAGGCACTTATCAAGGAAACCTTGAAGAGGCCCCCACGCCCGCTCAGAGTGTGCAAGCGTAGTGGCGAGGGATGAGTAGGCAGCGGGGAGTGTACGCCCTTGGAGCCACACAAGTTTCAGGACCCAAGGGAGATGGTCAGAATGCACGAGGCCAGCAGCCTGGGTCCAAATGGCGTTGCCTCGGGATGCTGCGGCTTCGATGTCACGGCGGCCGGTATCCCGGCAACGTTGGGCAACCCCGAGGTACTTATACTCGGGTACAACCCGAATGCACCGCCCATCAGTGAGGGAGAGCTGAGGAACGGGCGACAGGAGTTCCTTCCTGGCCTCATTAGCCCCCGGTCCTTGGAGGTGGACTAGGGCCTCAGTCTTACCGGCTCCCAGGTTCACCCGAAAGCGAAAAGCCTCGAAGACTTGCAAGACAATCGAGCACAAGCGCTGGAGTTTAGAGACGGCCCAGGTAGCCCGCAGGAAATCGACAAGCAGGCAAAGGTCATCCGCCCAAGCAATTTGAAGCGCGGTGTCAGGGTTCCCCAACGCATCGGAGGTGGATGCATGCACAATATCTTCAGCGCGGAGTGCGTGGTGAAGGCATTGAAGGATGACTGCAAAAAGCGCGCCAAAGAGAACATCGGCCAAACCGTCACCCGGCCGAGATCCACGGCTGGCCATAATAGCCTGGGGCTGACCGACCAACCTCCAGAAGGAGCATTCAACGCAATCCCTGAGCAGGGCGATCTGGTCAGGCGGAACACCTAAGCCAGAGAGGACCCCATCTCGGATGAGTCCGTGGACGTGTTCCGGCAGGCGCAGCCCTTGCAACGCTTCATCGAGGTCACGCCCCTCAAAGAGCAAAATACGGTCAGCCTCATAGTAAGCTGCTTGGATATCAACAAACAAGGCAGCCCATGATCGGTGGCGTACAGTGGCGAGGTCAACCGCCGAGCGAAAGACGCTCAGCGCAAGGCCAGTATCGACCCCACGCCGCCCGCCGAGCTGTGTGGGAAAGTAATGAGCAATGATTTCCTGACCGAGCGTAGCTCGCAACTGAGAGTGCCAAAGCTTCGCAACACCATTAAGCATGGCAATAGATCTGAAATTGGAGGGCAGGTGGGCCGGGCCTTTCTTATGAAGGGCTCCAACAATGGAGGCTTTGAAATGAAGAGGCTCAGCCTCTCCCCACGCGAGGTGAAGCCAAATCGGCCATAGCCATCGTCCAGCTTTGTCGGGGCAAGCTTTCCAGACCTCATTACGGATGTGGTCCGGCCCAGGGGCCTTGCCTCTCTTCTGGGAACGGCACATGTGTTCAACGTCCAGAAGGGAGGGGACCGCTGCCGGGCAAACTGGGCGGGCAGTGTCGGCCCATTTGACAAAAGCGCTGTTGAGTTGCGCGCTCGACACGGGGCGTCCTCCTTCTTGTTGTTGGAATTATAACTGCAGTTCAGCATCGATATTGAAGCCACTGGCGGCCCGCACATCGCGCTTCTGCTTAGCTCCTTTGGACGCCCAAGAAAGCTTAGAAACAGCCTCAAGAGGGCGAACCGTGGCATGCCAGTGATCGATAGCTCCGACTAGCAGGGATTCAAAATAGGCCTGTTTGTCAATCCGGGCCTGGGCATGAGCCTGAGCTCGCAGTTTGAAGCAGACATGCGCAAAGTGGGCCACGAGCATCTGCACCTGGTGGCGTTCCCAGCGCCGGGCAGGAGCTGGTGGTGGCCGACCGTGCCAAGCATGGAAGGCAAGTGCACAGAGCTGCTGTCGCTGAAGAGAAGCGAGACGACGTAACTCAGCTCTGGCATCACGAAGGGTGTCAAGGAGACCGGCAGCCGTATCTGAGAGGTAGGGTTGGCGCCGGCACAACGGAGGTCTCGCCGGCAGCAGTCGGACAGCTGCAGCGTGCGCAGTGCATAACTGACGGACTTTGGCGGAGCCAGATCCTGGACCGGAGCGGGCAAGGGTGTCCCAAACATGCTGCGAGACAAGGTCACCGCACGTGGGTGGGTAGGGGCACCTTTGATGAACGCGGCGTCCGGTCTTCCCCCATATCTCGACACATGCCGTAATGGGCATGCGATCTCGCGCCTCCCCGTTCAGGATGTCAAGTTCAGGGAACTGACGATGGCCACGAACAACGACACCGCCAGTGACAAGCAGGTGGTCAAGCCGTTGGACC